AATATTAGTCTAAATAGACTAAATAGACTAAATAAAACTTTCTTCTATAGTTACTCTTTAAGCTTATAAAGACTAGCTAGCATAGTATATTTAACTTAAAGTTTATACTATTAGAAAGCAAATATAGAATTATGTTAATCTAGATAGCCTATTATAGCCTAATCTTCTTAATAATGCTTCTCTATACTTAGAATTATCTACTAAGCTAGTTAAGCTAAAGAATTCTTCTACTAGAGCTACTAATAAAGTAAAAGCTAATTATAAAAAGTCTTTATAAGAATATATTAAAGATATTAAAGCTTATAAAGTTTTGTTAGCTAACTATAATAAGAGAGTCTAATAATAGAAAGTTCTTACTACTAAATAGTCTTAAAAAGCTGCTATACTTATAAATCTTTAAGACTAGATTATAAAAATAGTCTTACTAGACTTTCTTAAGCCTATCTAGATTAGACTTTCCTAGATAGATAACTTAAGCCTCTAATTATAACTTAAACTGCTTAAAGATTAGCTAGCCTTAAGTAAGGCTATAACTTAGAATTAAATTAGATAAGAGTACTAAGCTTACTTAAATAAAGCTAAGTATAGTAGAATTAGACTAAAGAAGTAGTTTAATAAATAGCAAACTCTCTATGCTTAAGCTTAGATATATAACGTTCTAGAGATTAAAGAGACTATTACTTTTACTAACTTTCTTAAGATAATTATAGTAAAATATGCTCTAGAATAAGCTTAATAGAAATAAGCACGAAGTTATAGAAAGAGTATCTCTAGAAAAAAAATAATCTAATATTAGATAATATTACTAGAGTATTTAATGCTATACTAAGTAAGTAATCTAGAAATACTAGAAAAGAAAAGAGACTATTAATCTTTATAGTACTAATCTTAAATAGATAAACTACTTAAAATAGCTTAACTAGAAAAATTAAAAAAGGCTTAAAAGTATACCTATATATTAGATCTTACCTGCAAAAGCTCTAATTAGATAAGTTTTATTATTAGAAACTAATTACCTATCTTAAGCTTTAAACAGCAGTAATAGAATTAGCTTCTAGTAATCTAATTAAGCTTAATAATGCAGATAAGAAAAAGATCTTAGAATAGTATAATAAGCCTAAATAGCAAGATCTCTATAAATAGATTAAAAAGTTAGGTTAGTCTACTACTTTAAAAAAGAAAAGATTAGATAAAGATTACTCTATTACTATTTAAGTAAGCTTAATTAATCTAACTTTCTTTATAAAAGAGTTACTAGAGATCTATAGCACTACTTTTAATTAGCACCTACTATACTAATCTATAATTCTTAATAGTAGAGTATGCATCTACTTAGTAAATAATTAGAGCCTAATTAAGAAGAAAACGTTTATTAAAGCTATAAATAGAGAGTATATTAAAGCAAGAACCTAACATTTATCTATTATTAGTATTTAGTACTTAGATTATAAGAAACCTAATAATTAGAACTAAATAGGCTATATATAGTAGACTTTATACTTACTAATATAAAGGTTATTAAAGGTTTCTACCTTAATATTATCTTAGAAGCAAGACTTTAAGATTAGAGAAATATCTAGTATACTAGTTAAGATTAAACTCTCTAATATAGTAATCTATCTAAGAATAAGTTACTCTATATGCTTATTAGAAAGTATAATCTTAACTTCTTAGAATTAATTAAGTCTTTCTATTCTCTAGTCTCTACTATTATAAAAGCTATGCTAAGATTATATTATCTATAAAATAGAAGTAGTAATAAGTAAATATAGCACTAATAATTAGATTATCTTAGATAGAAGGCACTATAGGCTCTAACTAAATATATATAAAATATTAAAATTACTAGTATTAAGAGGATTAATTATAAATATTATATAATAGCATACGCCTTATAAGTAATCTTAAGAAAACTAAAAGAAAGATTACCTTAACTCTTCTATTATATCTTATAGAATCTATTTAATATGCATTTAGAATAATTAAAAAAGCAATAGTTATTGCTAATAAAAGATAATTATTCTAGAAAGATTAAGAATAATAATCTTTTATTAAAGTTACTGCTTAAGATTATAAAAGTTATTAAAAGATACTACTAGAAAGTAAGAATAAAATATAACTTTTTAATTATAGAGATATACTAAGATAGTAATTAGGTAATATAACTATAGAGAGAATAATTAAGATTTAAGAAATAAGTAGATAAAAATAGAATTGCTATTAAAGCTACTCTATCTTATACTTATAAGCTAAATAGCTTAGCTAAGCGTATAGAATAGAAAATAATTATAAAGGTAATAAAAATGCGTATAAGCGTAAATCTACCTAATAAGCTTTAGCCCACCGATACTAGATATAGCTACTTAGCTTTATAGAATAAGCCTAATAGA